GTCTAGTAAATTCTCCGAATTAAATTTTTTTTTTTTTTTNTTTTTTTTTTTTACAGAATTCTTTGTATTCTATCTACTAGTGGAAGTTGATCAACCTCACAGCTTTAGGTAGCCATAGAACATATACTCCCATATGTTTTCCATGTGGCAAGGCTTCCCTTTCTTTACTTATAGCCCCTTAATTACAGCCCTGGAACTTATCTTTTCACAGTCGTGTCTGCTTTTGTATATCCATTGGTAGATAGAGATTTAAAGAGCACTTTGAGAGCACTTGGAATTACGAGTATCAACCTACAGGCTAATCTGGGCCATGTTATGATCGTGGACTCATCTTTGAATTGAATTAGCTAGATGGAGTACTGAGCTTCTTAAAAAAAAGAAAGGTACATTCCCATTCTCGAAGATGAAGTGAATAAGAGGAGCAGCTTGAAGGAATTATACGTGTTCCCCTTTTGTTTAAGTATAAAAATTGCTAAAACACTGATCGAAAGAAAGGCTAGGGGTATCAAACTTGTCGAGAGGGATCTTACGGCGGACTGTATTTTCTTCTTCAAGAAGATTCATGACGAGACTAGAGACCTTCTTAATACGATGCTATAGCGCAAGACAGGAATATCAGACGCTTTTTACGCGTTGTACTACGAGCTCAGAGCACCTGATATTACTGCCGCCTTTATTCGGACTGTCAGCGCCTTTTTTATTGCCAAATTTTATCTTAGGCTCCACAGATGTTCCTTACTCCACCTAGTAACCCAGTCTTACTTATCCTACCTGGCCCAAATAAGGCCTCATAGGCATGATCTTACATGAAGTTCTCTGGTTAGAACCAAAGGAATTGTTATGTAGCATCGCCAGAAGAAAAAGTACCACATGGACAGTTCTCGTAGAGCATATGCCTATGCTTCCTGAACGAGCACCAAGTAGAACTCGAACTTTTATAATATTAGTGTGAAAAGTACTAAACGATCCACCAATTTTAAAGAATTTGAAATGCCTAGTCGGGATGGAGGACAAGGTACCGTTTACGGAAGAACTCGGAGATCAAGCCAAGCGTTAATAGGCGATAAACTTGGAGGATATGATATCCTTCATGAGCTGAGTCTCAGAAAAAGTAGTTGCGCAATACGCTAGAGTCTACAACTTTCGAATTAGAGGACGGAGATTGTGAAGCAGATTTGGTTTTCAGATCAAGGAAGGATGAGCAAGCAGAGATTGTAAACACATTTGTATCTTACAAGATCTTTGCACTTGATCACATCAATTTACTATCCAACTGCTATCATTCCCTCTTTCACAAACATCACTTCCAAGACCTCTGCGCTCAAGACCCGAATATCCGGGAGAGCAGACTCGACTACATCTCCGAACAATGCTTTTCAAAAGTTTTGAACTGCACGCGTACGCCATTATTGCGTTACTTATCCCTGTCCAGTTGACTTAACAAATCCAACCCCATCTTGAATGTCATAAAATACTACATGAATACCTCTTCGTTGATGTACAGTCCAGCTTTCTTCTTTTCAGCCATCCTGAGTGCTAACCACATCGTAAAAGCTCAGCCTACTCACCCACTTTTTTACAGTAGCAAAAAAAAGAAGAAGCATCGACTTCCAAGTTCCATTGCGAACGGCTGGAGGAATAAATATGGACACAGGCCAGCGCTCTGCAACTACGAAAGAGGCAAAGGAGGGACGGGATTCATGTTTGGGAGGAGGTGGGCGTATGTATGTATGTACGTATGTAATTCTCACGCTCAACATGAACGACAAGAAATAATACCACAGACAGATAGAAAACAGCAAAAGGCGTAGTGTAATATTCCGCACGCCGAAGATTCTAGGAAAGTTCAAAAGAGGATGATAAGAGCACGAAGATAACAACTAACTACCACGTTCTCAGTCTTTCTTTTCAGATTTTTTTCCTTTCTTGCTCCCATATCCTGCTCCCTTCCACAACCCCTAGCCTCTATACGACTAAATACTCCAAAATTTGCACCCAGTTCGGCTCAAATGTAGCTAATAACGCTCGAACATAATAACACTTTCTTACCCCCCCCCCCCTCCTCTTTCCTCACTCTTCTTCAATTACCTTCTTCTTCAAATACAAGAACTATACATATCAAACAAACAATCATGCAAATTACCGCTCCTCAACAAGTTCCTCATCATTAAAGAACAAAATCTTTCGCCATGCGACAACTCCAGACGAAGCTCTTTCTCAATTGCAATAGTCAGTCACTCAATCACCTAAAATCGTTCTTATACCTAGTCTTGATTCTTGGATCGATCCGGACTTCTCGCTCGCCTCTCCAGTCAGCAGGCCAGGCTGGGCCGGGATGGAAATGGAAATGGCTGCCCTTAGGGATAGGTAGAAATATGGAGCGGCGATGATTTTCAACTGCAAAAAGTCGTAGTTCGGGGGGTAGCGCTTGCTAAATGAATGTATCACCGATTGTGGAGTAAAAGCAGAAGTTGAACGGAGAAAAGAATCCATAGAGCCCGTCATTAATTTTGTGCTAAAGCCCGAGTCCACGTTGCAAAAAAATCAACTGCGAATGCCGTAATTCATCACGTCGTACCAACCCAACCATTATAATCCCATCCAAGAATATCCAGGTTTCAAGACGAAGACGCCGCTTTCTCCTCCTCTTTTTTGTCACCTTCTGCGGCCTTCTTCTCCTCACCGACCCTCACCAACCGTCCTACAACAAGGTATTTCTCTTCAAACCTCTCCTCCCAGCCCCTCAGCGCCTCCATCTCATCATCCCCAAGTCCAGTCAAGTCATCCAGCGGCCCTTCCAAATCCTTCGTCAACATCTCCTCGTCAAAACTCCCACACGCCAATCCCCTCGACGCATCCCTGCCTGCAAAATTAGCGTAGGGGCCGCCGGGACCGTAGAAGTTTCTGCCCGGAGTGACATCGAAGACCTTGCCGCGGACGGCGAGATAGACGGGCATGTTCTTCAGGCCGTTGTAGGGGAGTAGGGTGGGCGGCGTGAAGGTGCGGAAGACGACTGCAGGCTGTGCTGGAGGGAGGGGGTGGACGGATGAAGAGGGACGGAAGAAGCGGAAGTAGATTGTATAAATTAGGAGGGAGAGGAGAATGAGGTTAATCGGGGTAAAGAATGTGGTGCTGGCGGGGTGGCGTGTTAGTTATTTGGTTGCGCTGGAGACGTTGCGTGGAAGGAGGGGGACGTACGACTCTTCTGGAGAGGGAACGGGTTTGGCTGCTTCTGGAGGAGTATTAGCTGTGGGGTTTTATAGTGGTTGAATGGAGGGGAGGAGAGAGGAGAGGAGAGAAGATTAAAGGGAAGGAGAGAAGAGAAGAGAAGAGAAGAGGGGGCATACCTTGCGCCATGCGCTGCTCGACATAGTCCATCGTGTGCTATGTGGACTTTGATCCGGGGAAGCTATTCAGACTTTAAGCGCCGCGCAGTCGGAATCAGGGATCCTTGTAGCTCTGCCTTCGATCAACTAGTCGCAGAGCAATTTTGGATTGCAGGGGGCCTCTAAATGGAGGAGTTGTTTGGTTCCGTATTGGTGTTGTCGTCGGTCGGATGTGACGTGCATGGGTTTCGGGGGTTTCGGGATGTTTGACTTGGAGATTTAAGAAGTTGGAGAATATAAGCTCGTATTTACCGAAGCCAAAGCCCAAAAATAACGTGACTGCCTGATTAATACCAGGCAAGAAAAGATAAGATAGAGATTGTGTTTATATATAGCGTATCGGGACTTATCAGAATATTTCTTATCGGTTTCCAAACTATGTATTTGATCCTAAAAGAATTTATATACACGTGATTCGCACTCTCAAGCTTCCAGTCCTTTTCGGTCTTCAACCTGGGTACATATATATCTTCCATGTACTTGATGCCTTTCTTAAAAATTTTTCCTTTTATCATCTTCATTTCTCCCTAATTCTGAACACCCATGTCCTCCTCACCTCTTGTATCAAAGTCCTTGCCCAGCTTTCTCCCGGAATTCCTATATACCTGTCTCCCCTTCACAACCTCGCCTTCCCACTAGCAATCTCCTTCACAGTCAAAAATAGCGTCTCAGCTGTTACACAGATCCGTCCCTCTTCGTCCTCAATAACTCCTTTCCCAAACATTTTCCTGCCCTCAATCCTATCCAGCCATGCTCTCACGATAATAACGCTCGGCGTTGGCACTGGCCGCTTATAGTTGACGTTCAGGTAGGCCGTCATGGTGCGTGTTCCTTCCGGACGCTCGTACTCGCCGACGTTACCGATACATTCGTCGACTATGCTGTTAGCTATAAATCTTTGTTTGTTTTCATATGGGTGGAGATTGGGGGAGGTCAAGCGCGCAAAGCTGGGGGACGTACGCACAGTCCCCAGAAACCCCCCATGCGCAGTATCTATATGTCCATTGACGCCCTCCCCAATCTTCAGCAAGTTGATAGCCTCTCCATACGGCCTCTCCCCTTCTTTGCCATCATTACCATCACCAGATGCCTTAGCCGGCTTGTAAAGAGATTGCCACGCCGCAATCGTGTCCCCCGTCGCTAGCGTATTTGCAATGAGCCTGTCGGCTGTACTCTGCCCCTTTGGCTTTCTCGCTTCGGTGGTGAAGGGATGCAGCTCCGTGTTCTGGAGATACTCTTGGGCCCTGGGGGAAGCGGAGAAGTGTGATTTTGTGGTTTCTGCTGGAGGGGAGAAGGTGAAAGGGTCTCTAGGTATAGGCTTTGGCATTTTGGGGAATAGAGAACGGGTATGGGCAGTGATTTGAGGTTGGCAAGGGGAAACTGTCACTGTTGTCTGTCACCTTGAATTGGGAGCTGAGAGCATAGTTCGTAAGTAGCTTTCGAGGATGATCGACAATCAACAGTGCGTAACCGAGACATGCGGGAGCCAAGCCCAGAGAATTCTGGGGAAAAGAAATTACCCCATGGAAAAGAAACGGGGTTAGTCAGGTCAGTTTGGCATCGGGTCATGACTTCTTATGTCAATGTCAACAAGAGCTGGGAATAGCTTCAGTACCGGTATCTTTTGTTCATCATCTCAGATTGTAAATTAGGTACCTACGTTGGCAAGCTTCAGCCGAAGCGCGTTTATGGCGGCTATGATCTATCAGACCTCCACCGCCGGTCCGCCATCATCTTGAAACGAACCACCCGCCCCTCTCATTCCTCTCTGTCGCACCCAGGCATCTCGAGTCCAAGCAAATCCGTTGGATGGGAATTCCTCGGATCTAAAGCTTAAGTTCTGATTTCCTTCTACTTACGCTGCTGCAGGTCAATCGCCATTTGTGTCTGCTGGTGTTCTGCTGCGTGCCAGGATCCGCGTCTACCCGTGTGCACTGCTTGTCGGTCAACCAGAGACGAGTGCCTCAAGACTGGATGTGCGATTGTTTGCTTGGAGAAAGATAGATTCCTTCACAGTCGAGTCTGCGAGTGCGATTCACACTCGCCGGCTACAAACCCGTGCGTGCCAAACCCGTACAAACCCACACAGCACAGCCTCGATCATCATCCAGATCTGCACCACCACCTCTTCCGACCGCATCGACAATTCTGCGAACATCATTTCCACTCGTACACAATCACCATACGCAATACCCAGTTTACGCGCTTCGAACCCCCCAAACCCGCCATCTTCCGCTCGAGCTCCCCGACCCGGGTGGAGTCTGATAACACCCACAAAGATCACGGATCACGCCAACCCCCCACAAGTACTGCCGCAGCGATGTGGAAGAGGCTTAACAACCCGCGGGTTGCCCGCCAGCCGGTCCACGAAGAGCCTGTGTTGGAGAGATCGTATCCTCGCTCTGGCGATAATATGGGGTTGATGGGTGGTAGGAACACTGGCTTGCAATTTTATGATGACAGGAGCGTGCCGCCGAAAAGACCGCAGAGAGACGAGGATCCTAGGACGAAGATTTTACCTCGGTTGCCATTGTAAGTGCAATCTTCTTATATTCCTCGGAAGAAGGTGAGTTTAGGGAATCTGGCAAGACGGAGGGTGGGCAGAGAAGGTTGATATGTGCTTTTCATATCGGATACTGAACGCCGGGATGTCTGATCGGACGCCGCTCTGGGATACCCGGCTTTTCTATGAGGGATGTTTTCATGCCGTACAAGTGGCGGATTTCTAAAACCGTGGCTGTCAAGCGCTTTCCCTCGATCTTCCTGGTACATGCGATCTCCAAAAGATCCATCCCGGCCTTGTTGACGGGGCCGCTCATCTACAAGTCTATGCCTTCGCATATTATGTTCTAGCAGAACCCCTCCCATCGCAAACATCTTTCAGCTCTTGTTCTGGAGACTTCAACCGTCAACAATACAGCTAACATACGACAGCGAACCGCCTACAATTGAGATAAATCAAGACTCCGAGTTTCGACCAATCTCATCGATATACTCGCAGCCTTCTCCGAATCCAATCAGTTCCGGCTACCCGAGAGAATCGTACCAGACGCAAAGCTCGTACCAGACGGAATACGTGGATGACGAGGTGTCACCGCAGAGCTCGCCGGAACTTCGTCCTTGGGTTAATAGGTATGTTGCTTGCACTTCCCAGGAACGTTGAACGTAACGGGGACGGGATTTCACGCAAATTTCTCAAGAAATCATGTCTTTCAAGACACTTGAGTCCAATCGATATTTTCTGCTGCTCTGGTCTTACTCAAGCTTCCGCGACTGTTTGATGAGGACTGCATTCTGACTATGCGTAGGAACCAGTATTCAGACGACGACGAAGGTGTATCTCCTATTGACGAGACGCCCGATATCTCACGCCTTGGCTTCAGCGACTCAGGCTCAAGTCCAAGACCTCCGATGCGCAGCATTCCAGTCATGAGAAGAGAAAATCATAGCCAGGTCGCTACAACGGCTGCAAATCTGGTAAATCGCAAGGAGATTGGTCATGGCCCGAGAGGTAGAGTTGCCCACGACCCAAGATGGGATCCCTATTCAGGAGAAATCACAACCAGCGACCGAGGGAAGCCCCAGTCCGTCAAGCCTGGTACATTCTCACCCCCAAGCCTGCGCCCCGTCCACAAGGAAACTGGTGTCACTCTAGGAGTCGAGACGCACATCTCCGCACCCGCCCAGAAACAAAACACTTCATTTAGCGATCGAGTCCGAAAACTCAAAGGCAGCAACCCAGCTCCAGTCGAGCGACCACCGTGGAAAGGCGCAACCGGTCGAACAACACTCGTATCTCCAGTTCAGGACCAACATCATATCCCTCATCTGTCCATCCCTCGAAAAAGCAATAATTCCAGCGCATCCCATCATTCTGGTGGAATGAGCCCAGCGACAACTGTCCAAAACCGCTCTGATGAAACCTCTGTCCGCACCGTGCTCGAGCGCAACAGTCGCAATTCCCCAACCGTGCAATCTCCCAAACATGTGACCCCTGATCCGGTCATCGTGTCTCAGTCTGCCGCAACCAGCAACCTGACGCGGAATGAAAATGATGCCCCAAGCGAGTTGAAAAGAGATGACACGATCGCGAACATCGAGCGTAATTTTGAACGCGGAATCCGGGAGCAGCTCCCAGGCGTCGTGGAGCAAGACGAAGGAACGTATAAACAGCCCTCGTCTCGCTTTTCCGTGACAACCTACGCGCCCTCCGAAGCTGCAACACCTCGTCCCTCTATAGACGCTTTCGAAACCCCTCCAGTGCCAGACCTCACCCCGCTGGTCAACCGCACCCGTCCCCGCTACGTCGAGTCTCCTAGAGCCTCCAGCATTACCAGCTCAGTCGTCTCCCGCAAAGCCGTCGCCAACGGGCCATCTTCTCCCGTGTTCATCTCAATGGCATCCATACCCGCCCATCTCCCAGCTAGCAAGCGCTCCTCGAACGTCGCCAAGAACCTCCCCATGTCCCCCGCCGAAGCCGAATCTCAAGATCTCGTCACCTCTCTGCAAGCCCAGCTTGACGACCTCGCGCATAGGAAGAACAATATCGCGAGAAGTATCCGGCAGATGACAGAATTGATGCCGAAGGATAGCGTGATGCTGACCGAGGATGTGAGGCGGAAGCGGGAGCTGGAGAAGATCAAGGTGGAGAGGCTGAGGGAGGAGGAGGCTGATGTTAGGAGGGAGGAGCATGAGGTTGGACTGAAGCTGCATCGCGCGTGGAAGAGAAGAGACAAGGGGGCTGTCTATGAACCAACCGGGCTGTGGGTTAGGAGGGTCACTGGATGAGCGGGGGATGTGACTTGTTGTGCGAGTTGACGGCGCGTTTATATGATTATGAAGGCGCGGGTCGCATTGGCTTGAGCGTGGGCGTGGGCGTGCGCGTTGAGGGTTGGATGGATCGTGGAGCTTTCGCATATCAGCGAGCGGGTGAGCATAAGCGATCTTTTTGGTTTGGTATTAGAGTACGGATGGCGTTGTGTTTATGTATAATGCTTCATTCTTGGAAGTCCAGGTGGGAGGGAAGCTGGCTTGGGCGTATGTGTGAGAAGAGCTCCAGGCCGGAACAGCTAAACATTATATGGCGCAGATGGAACCCATGGGTCATTTTAGAAATTCAGAAAGTCAGATGCCAAACTCCTTGACCAAAGTCTCTATTAACCATAAGCAAAATGTTGATGGACGTTTTTTTTCAGAGGGAGAGGGCGGGGGGCTTTATTTCGTACACATCAGGGGATCCTCTCTCTGATGTGTTAATCATCTATCTTCATCGGTATCCATCTATAGGTAGGTTTCTAAGTCGCATTTACGCGCGATTCTAGACCTATGTTGTGCTGTTAGTCAAGGATAAGCAAGGTAGGTAGGTCTTTTGGGGCCGTTGAGCGAGCATGAGTAAGTAGCAGGTATGGATTTGGTGGATAATCATCACAGATACGTACATACATACATACATAGGTACATACATACATACATACATCCATACATACGATCACGATCAACGCGCTACGGATATATCCATCCATCCATCCATCCTCCATCATCATCATCACACCTCATCACCACCCAATTCCCACGAACAACACAACACAACACAACACAACACCATCCCCGATCCCCAATCCCAACGCCCCGGACTTCTTCCCTCCCTATCCCCATCCCCTATCTACTTCCCCATCCCCTATCTACTTCCCCATCCCCTATCTACTACTACTTCCCCCCCGTCACCCCCCCCAGCAAGCCCCCCGCCCCCTTCGCCGCCCCCCCGGCCGTGTTCGCCACCCCGTTCGTCGTCTGCCCCACCACGTTCCCGGCGCCGTCCACCGTCTTGGTCACCGCGTTCCCGGCGCTGTCCACCGTCTTGGTGACGGTGCCCGTGGCCGCGCCGAGGAGGCCGCCTTGGCCCTGGGCTGGGTCGCCGCCGGTGAGGGTGTTGTCCAGCGCGCCGGTGAGGTTTCCTAGGAGGCCGGCCATGGTGGTGTGGGTTTGGGTTTGGGTGGGAGTTTGAGTTTGGGGAAGTGATGTGATGTGATGTGATGAGAGTGGTTTGGTTTGGTTTGGTTTGGTTTGGTTTGGTTTGCTTGTTGGTGTATGTGTGTGTGTGTGTGTGTGTGTGTGTGTGTTGGTTTTGGGGGGTGGGGAAGATTGAAGAGGGAGGGGTTGTGGGATAGATTGAGTGCTGTAGCTGTAGCTGTCTGTAGCTGTAGCTGTGGCTTGAGATGGGTAGGTTGTTTCCTCTGTTTTTATAGAGAGGAGGCTGGGATGGGGAGAGGGAGCTGATATGGCATGGCATGGCATGGCATGGCATGGCATATCCAGATTTCAGTCGTCTGCTTGATCAGGAATCAGGGTATAGCTACATACATACAGTGGCAATCGATGGTCACGCAGAGGGATCCATCCATCCATCCATCCACCTCTCTCCTCGCCACCTAAGAAGCACGCAACCCCCATCCCCCGATCAGCACGCCTCATGACATCCGTATTCCAATCACCCTTCCACCCCCCCCCTCGTCTCGCCAGTCCTGTCGTTGAAATCCACGAGCGATAGGTACACGTCCTCCCGATCCTATCCGCTAACCAAGAATAACATGCCGAAGACCAGGTGAGCCACGCAGACCAGACCAGACCCGACCAGACCAGACCCGAGCGGCGGAAAACCGGTTTTTCCATCAGAAGATCACGGTCACCGGTTTGGCCTTCCCAGCCACGATCGAGAGATCTTGCCGCGCCCGCCTTCTGTGTTGCAGATCTTTTTTGGCCACAAAAAAAAGAAAGAAAGAAAAAAGAAGAGAAGAAGAAAGAAAAAAAAAAAGAAAAGAAAAGAAAAGAAAAAACAAGATTTTTGGAAAAGGTGGTGTCGTGCATGTTGGAACTCTACGCTGTGAGGTTCGGGAGTAGGGGAGTAGGGGAGGTAGTACGTCGTGGAAAATCCGATTAAGCCTCAAAGGGTTTGCGTGGCATAGAGCATGGAGCAGAGCTCTTTCGGACCACGGCCTTGAATGCCCCTCTCCATACTACGTACTAGTACTACCGGTATGAGCAAAGCCAGTGATGATACCGCATTAGGCATTAGGGACGGAGCGCCATCCATGCACGGAATCCTCGACGAGTCGCTCGCTACGCGTCAGAGTATACGCCGCTCTCGGGGGTGTCGCTCACACGACGGTACTGGGATGCGGAGAGGTTACTCGTGAGTAACGTCATTTGTTTACTCAGCTCAGGGTGTGTGCCGTATGTGTGTGGGTCGAGGATCAGCCAGGGCGTGCGTGGAAAGTGGGTGGGTGGGCTTTACATCCTACGGTACGTACCGGCGAACGCCCGAAAACCCTCGAGGGTCAGCCACATGTTTTGTTTGTTTGTCTTGGGTGCTGCAGGTTTTTGTTTTTCCCGCTGGCTTCTGAAACGTGGGGCTCGGGGACGGACTTGGAACTTTTTTTTTCTTTTTTCTTTTTCCTTTTTCCTTTTTCCTTTTTATTTTTCTTTTTCTTTTTTTCGGCTATGGTGTCGAGGTGTGGCTGACGTCTCCGCCTGATCGATGCTTCCTAGTATTGTGCACAGCGGAGCTACGTATGAGGACGAGATGGAGAGGAACTAATATTGGTTAGTCGGTAAAACAGCCCCCCGAAAAGAGCGGGATTCGGCCGGGATGGTCTGGAGAATCACCTTCTATTCGCTGTGGCCCGCCCCTGCCAAAAAACAAAAGGGGGGGAGTCGGTCGACTCGCTTAGCGAGAAGCAAGCGGAACCGAGCACAACAAGGTCCATCTGTGGGACTTCGTCAGCAGCGCAGGTGCGCCGTCGCCCCGTCCGCAATCTTTTTCCCACTGTTCTCTCCGGCCTCACTCTGGCGTATACATCCCATCCGCCGACCCTCCGCTCGTTGTCAGCTTTCCCACCAATGGACAACCCTCTGCCATCGCCGGCGCCGGAAACGAAGTCGACGGACGACTACTCGGACATCGCATCGGACGCGTCCGAGGGCGCAGAGAAGGGACGGAAGTACCAGCGGGGCGGGCGCAAGACGTCGAGTACCGATACCACGGCCGAGGAGCTGGAACTGCTGCAGGGCTGCTCGCCGGAGAACGACGACGATGAGGATGAAGAAGAAGAAGGAGAAGAAGATGGAGACGGAGACGGAGACGGAGACGGAGACGCAGGGCAGGACCCCGAGCCGGCGGTCCCTTGCCCGTACTGCGCGGGAAAGGGCGCGCCCGCGGTGCTGAAAGAGCGGAGAGCGGCGGTCCAGAAGGCGCCGGCCGAGGAGCCGTTCGACACGGGCATCCGCGCCTTCAACATCCGGAAGGCGACGGGCGGCGGGAGGAGGCCGGTGAGCATACGAAGGCCGTCGTCGAGGAAGAAGTCGCAGGCGCAAGCGCAGGCGACGAAGGGGCGAGAGAAGAAGAGGGAGGTGCAGCGCAACGCGAAGGAGGAGGAGGGGGAGGAGGAGGAGGAGGGTGGTGGTGAGGAGGGTGATGGTAACGAGGCGGAAACGGAAGATGACGGCTCGAAAACCAGGAAGGGGGGAAAGAAGGCGCGCGAGGCCCCCGGGGCGGGCGGCGCGGGCAAACCGATGTCGATACGGTTGGATCTCAACTTGATGGTGGAGGTTTTCTTGAAGGCGAAGATACAAGGCGATGTGACGGTCACGTTTTTGTAGGTCGGTCTGGGCTCTGGCAAAGGCTTTCTACTGACGGCTTCGCAGGGAGTGAATGAGGGACATGTGTGGGAGGCAGGCTTGAGAGACGTTCTCTGGGTTTTATATCTATCTATATCTATCTATCTATATATATATATATATATATATATTGGGCTCTCAGTCGAGGCGGAGCGAGGGGCAGCGACCGGCCCCTGGCGATGGATGATAGATACCCCAGGAATTGCAAAGATGCAGCCGTCTGAAGGCCGGGATTCTAGGGATCACTAAGGTAGGTACCGTATTTCGATCGCTGGCGCCGATCTGACGGATGCAAGAGGGGGCCGCGGGTTCGTGAGCCAGCGCCAAAAAAAAAAAAAAAAAAAAAATTAAAAATTGGATAGCAATGCACGGGGTCAAATGACGCAACAGGCGGCATCTACCACTACCTACCTATACCTACCTTACTCACCAACATCACATAAATGCACGAGTTCTGCAGTTTGAGAGCCCAGCCGGTTGTGCACGGACGCTCGCTCTCTGTCTTCCTTCCCGGGCCGACCGACATCCCTCAGCACCGATCGGCCGAGCAAGGGCAGCTACGTAGTAGCTGCCGTGAGTGACCGGTAGTTCGTTCCCCTTTCCGCATCCGCGGGTGGTGGTCCGTCCTCCTTTCCGCGCACGGCCCCGCTTCCGCCACTCAGCCCCAGCGGAGCTTACAAGTACAGTACCGGTACCGGTACCGTACAGTACAGTACAAATACAGTGAGTAGGTAGGTAGGTAGGTAGGTAGGTAGCGCCATGCGAACTCCACCCTAAGGCCCCAGGCCGGGACGCGACCTACAGTAGAAACAGTCACTTTCCCCGTTGCGCCGCCCGGGCGGCTGAACATGGGCCACGACGTCAGCGCATGGGACTGCGCGGCTGCACAGAAAGTAGACCAGTACAGTACAGTACAGTACAGTACAGTACAGGAAAGTTGGGATGCGTGCCGATCTCGAACCTGTCTTTTGGCTACCGTACTTATACCGATACGTACGTAGTACGTACGTACTGTCTGACTCAGGTTGATGTCTGGGCGACAACGGGACTTAGTCAGGGGGGTGGGGGTGCAGGGGGGCCGTGAAAACCCCATTTCCCAGCGCCGTTCCCTCCCCCCGCGAAGCAAGCGCCCAGAATCGTCTTGGAGTCAAAACTAAACTAAGTACAAGTACCGGTACCTACTCCGTCCCGTACTACCGTACTGTATAAAAGCAGGCCGGTACATAAGGACCTAGGCCAACCTTGGAACAATGCTCGCCCGATCCCGTCGTGCGTCTCTGACGGTGCGGACTGCATGCAGATGAAGGCGGCGCTACAGGACAGTACCGGTACCGGTACCGGTACCGGTAGCGGTAGCTTAGCAGGGGTTGGACGGTGGAAACGATTGTCAAACAATCTTGTTACCTAGTACTATACTATACTATACTATACCATACCATACCAGTAAGTACCGTACCGCGACGGCGGGAAAGAAGGAGAAAGAGAGAGGGACAGGATGGGAGTCATACAAATACAGATACAGATACAGATACAGATACAGCGAGCCACGCGGCCGAGAGGAGCCAGCAGGCCCGCAGGACACGCACGCACGCACGCACTTTCTTCTTCGTCGTCGGCGGCTGCGAACATCACAAGCGAAACAGCCCACCCGGCACGGCGGGTTCTGCCAAGCTGTCAAAAAAAAAAAAAATAGAAAATAAATAAAATAAAATAAAAAATAAAATAATAAAAAAGGCAGCGGGCCGTCCGTTTCCGAGCTCGCAGGGCCGGCTTGCGGGAAGCGAGACGCCGCAGCTCGCTAATCTCCTCGGGAGAAGAGAAACAACGTTCGGAGGTGGCCGCCTCTCCACCCACCCACCCCGGAGTTGGGGGAGCGGGGAAGATGGAATGAGATCACGACGCGGATGGATGGATGGCTGGCGGGGTCCATCGTGGGAGTCGTCGGGCGTCGATTTGCTGCTGCTGCTGCTGCTGCTGTATGTAGGTAGGTAGGTAGGTAGGTAGTTGGCTAGATGTGAGGCCCGCTTATACGAGAATGGGCGTCGGTGTTGACTGGCTGCGGCTAAGCGAGTCAACAATCCGACGAATCACGGAGATTGGTATACTGTAGGGTAGGTATATATCTCCGGGCGTATGGGATCTTCCCACGGCGGTACTTACGGTATGGTCACTCATTCACAGGAGGACCAGGAGAATCGGGAGCGAAGAAGATACCGTCTGGTCTGAGACCGACAAATCTATTCGCTACAAGTACACAAGATGCAATGTACAAATCGAAGGAACGCCTCGTACCCCTTTTCTCTCCCAACGCCGTTTGCACATGTCATCATCATCGTCACACTTCAGAGCTCATCGCATCGCAACGCATTCGCATTCGCATTTCATCTCCTGCACACCCTCGAGAATCAGAACGACGTCCCGAAGAGGAAAGAAAAAAAAAGTACAATCTCTCTTTTCTTTCTTTTTCAAAATTCAAAAAAATTTCAAGAGGCGTAGCTTCTCACAGTAAGCCGATGGTCACATCTCCCTTGACGCGCGCGTATAGATCAACCTACACGGGGTTACATCAGACCAATGGTCACATCTCCCTTCACACGGGCATAGAGATCTACCTCGACTTCCAGATCCAGCTCGATCTTGATCTTCAGGCTGCTGTCTCGCTCCTCCTTCGGCTGCGGCCGGTCCTTGATGCGGGACTCGCGGATCGCGCCCGACCGGCCGCCCATGTTGCCCGTGACGCGGTCCTCGGCCGGGATGATCTGTTGCTGCTGGGGCAGCTGTTGCTGCTGCAGCTGCTGTTGGAATGGCTGTTGCGGTTGTGGTTGCTGGCGCGGTGCTCGCTGCATCGTGCGTGTCCCTTGCTTGGGTGTCGGCTGCACGACTTGTTGCTCTTGCTCCTCTGGCTGTCCCTCGTCGGACTCGGACGCGTAGTCCTCCTCGAGGGTCTGTTGCTTCTCTCTGTCACGGGTGGATGGTTAGCACGAGCGGCGCGGGAGAGAGGACGCTCGGGAGTGAACATACTGGTCTGACATTGTGGATTGTGTTTTGCGCACAGGAGACGGGCAACGAGATTCGGGTGGGGTGGGGGGGAAATGAATCTTTGCTGTGGTGGCGGAGGTGGATGCGGTTGAATCTCGAACTGAGCTTGGACGGTTTGATGGGTGACTGATCTTCACAGTTCTAGTCTATACTTATAGAGATGTCAACAATCCCAAAGCCTGGAGTGGCATGACGACAACGCATCTTTCGATGGCCATGACATAGCTCCCAGGCATCTGTGGATCCGGTATGAAGCTGCAAGGCGAATCAGCCAGATCTGAAAAATCAAGTTTTCCGAGAACCCCCGGACTGCTCCAGACGAGGAGCCAGCCGATCTGGAGTTCTCCATCAAATCACAGGACGGCCGGGTCAATCTTCCCTGTTCGTTGGACGTCATACATCGAGATGGTGGGTGCAATCGCGCAAACCGTCATCATGGACCCATAGATATGTGGGGCTGACGACGATCCGAAAGCTTCGAATCCTTGAAACAAAAGCTTTCGCCCCCTTTCTATACCCATTGCCGGGTAGCTCTGTATGAGGCTAACCGCTTGGGGTAATATGAGGCTCCTGAGTAAAGACGATGTCGGCTTGTTGATACAGTACAGCTGGCCTGGTATTCTCCAGTATGATGTAAGTCAAGTGCTCAATTGTGTTACGTCCTTGTAAGTATCCGACACAACCGTCGGGAGTTCAACTTATATTCGTCCCAGTGATTCCAATGACAGAAATAGCTGGTCTCCGTAGATGGAGCTGGGACAGATACCATCATCCACCTTGAGAAGTCACCGTTTTCTTTCACAGGCACCTTTTTGAGGAACAAAGATACAAACATCAGACTCACGCCAGACTCACACCGGAGCGACCCAAAAGTAACTCGAAAATGCCTCTCGGGATACTCACTTCGATCGCGGCGTGCCCTGCCATCATCGGCACCACCGAAGCCGTTCGGCAAGGCCAGAAACAAAACGCGAAAGAAGCGCACCGAGGCCGGAAGGCCAACCTCTACGTAACATGCAACGACCCCTCGCGGAAGAGCCGCGATATCCACGGCGGCACAGTCGTCTTGCGCAATAACAAAGTAGGCGTTCCCATGTAGCCCCAGCCAGGCGGATCGCATCGCATCGCATCGCATCTCAATCCCCTCCGCGGCATCTCGCCCTCCCTCCCAGATCTCTGATGGCAGCAGCAGCAGCAGCTAACCACCCCAGCTCTACGTCACAAACGTGAATCCCAAGTCCAAATTCCTGCCCAAGAACGGCAGCGACACGGTCGCGTCGCAGGGTCACCAGCTGGCAGGCTATTTCTTCGGGTACCCCGGCAGCAGCTGGGGGCGCAAGGGCGAGGGCTACGTCTCGACCGTCGCGGACGACCCGCCGCAGCTGAACTGGATCTACGTGGACCGCGACACCTACGAGATCAAGTACGGGCTGAAGGTCGACGCCGAGGGGAACTACACCGGGCCGTGGAACGTCACGCCCATCGACCGGCGGCTGACCTTTGATGGCTGGGAGGGCTTCACCGTCGTGGAAGAGGAGGCGGGCGTCTGGGCGCTGTACTTCGACGTCGACGACGACGGGCTGGAGGGGAAGGTACCGCTGACGCGGAGGATCATGGAGGTGGAGCTGACGAGGAAGGAGCTGCGGATGCAGAAGGGGGATAGTATCCTGAAATGAACATCTCGGCTCGCGCGAAGATTTCCTCTTCGCCCGCCCCAGACACGCTTGTAGTGAGGTGGGCATCTCAATCTAGACCGTAGAAAGCTGTCCGTTCGGTGTGCGCTGTTTGCAACGGAGCGAACAGCCTCTTGTTGAACTTCCCCCTTCCCCAACCCCCGTTACCGAGAAAAAGTAAACAAAGGCGGGTTCCCGACCGAGGTCTCACTATACAAACAAGCTACTACCGCGATAGGCATAACTCGCCCCGCGGGCCTGCTTCTCCAAACCAAGCAGTACCCTTCCTCCGGTAGCTCCAGAAAAGAAAAGAAAAGAAAAAGAAAAGAAAAACCCAGTTTCGGGAATAAACCCGGTACGTAGCAAGAGCCCCCCTGCAGCAACCGCCTGGTCACGAGCCACCACTCCCCGCCGCCCACGCACAAGATCGAAGCATGGCACCGAAGAGAAGAAAAAAAAAAACCCTCCCTGGGTTACAGACCCGATCTCATCTCTCCAAGATACCCCCCCCCCCCCCCCCGG